TTGAGGCACTTCAAGCGCCCGGTAGTTAGGCAAAAGAAGACCTCGCAGCACACGTTTGTTGGGCGGGTGGCCTACCCTCCACTCAGCAGGGGCTGAGGGAGAGCACGGCGAGGACAGACGCGGAGAGCGAGCGCGCGGAGGCAGGGAGAAAGAGAGAATCGTTGTTTGCCGAGGGGCTTGTCGCGGGGGAAGGGGGAGGGAGAGAAGGACTGCACCAGGCTAGACGAAGAATTATCGGGACTGTCCCGTCTGCGCCCGGGAGGGGGAGAGGGGAGGGGAAAGCTCCGTGCAGACAGCGCGTCCCCGTAGCCGCGGCCCGACCATCTCGACGGGGGGTCTAATTGGCATCAGTGGCGCTCACTGATTTCCATTCGGCGATCCCGCTTTTCATAAAGTAACTGCCTTGACAGCGACCGCCGCCCCCTCCCGCTCCCCCCCTCCTCCGAGACACTTTCCCCACTATAGGCAGCAAGGGGACCTCGGCTGAAATGATGCCGTTTTAATTTCAGCCAAGGGGCCATCGCCATCGCCGATGATATTAAATAATATTCTGGATCGGAATTTGATTAGAATCCGACGCGAGTGGGGGCGAGGCCGAGTCGGGTGGGGCCGTCATCATATTAGGCGCCTAATCTCCACCCCCGCTTCTGGGCTGATGGACCGCGCGCGGGGGGTAGCGCCTGGTAGCGCCTGGTAGCGCCTGGTAGCGCCTGGTAGCGGCGTGGTAGCGCCTGGTAGCGCAGCCTCCCGCTCCCGGTGCTCGCGGGCTGCCTACTTGCGACGTAAAGTAAGTAGTCTGCCTCCGACCCGGGCTGCTGTTCCGTTGTCATTACCCTCTCGAGGGCCGGGCGCGGGAAAGGGCGCCGCGAGGAGACTCGCACAACCTTGAGTCTGAGACTCTTCTCGGGCGGAGGCGCGCGGTAGCCTGGGGAGCCGGTATATCCTGGCTCGCTTAATCCCCGTGGTTCGGTAATCACCATTAGCTCTAGCAGCCCACCGCCGCACCGCCACCACAGGTACGCCCCCGCCCGGCCGCCTCCACGCCCCTCTCCCCGCCGCCCAGCCCGGTGGCAGGCAGCGCCCCGAATGGACCCTATCCCATCAGTATCGCCGAGAGCAGCCTTGCCGCTCGGCCCGGCCTTCCCGGCCCCGGCATCCTATCCGATTCCATCTCCGCGACAAACTAGACTTAAATGAATTCGGAAATTAATTTATGAAATGGGATCCCGCCGCGCGTGCGATGCTGCCGCGAAGCCGAGGCGGAACGGCGAGAGAATTGAAACCTCGCTCCACGAATTACAGTACTGATGGTGCAGACGAGCTTCCTCGGCCTCCCCGCCCGTCGCCGTCCTGCACCGCCATGGTGTTCCCCACTGGACCGGACGAGCAGGAAGGGTGAAAAATAATCGCACGCACTAAAAATGTGTCCGTGGCCCACCCACTCTCACCCACCGACCGCCGCATCTCGCTCTTTCACTCCCCCACCCCCCAACCCTCCCCTCCTCCGGGCCACCTCTCGCACCTCACCCCCAACCCCCTTTCCCTTTCCGGACAGACAGGCAAATTGAAACAAATAGTCGTGGCCTCCAACCTATGCGCGGAGGCTGGTCTCCCCCGCCCATCTCCCCTCCCTACCCGCTCTGCCCTACCTGCCCTGCGCTGCTTAGGGATCGTCCAAATCACGTTTTGTTTATTTTGCTCCTCAGATTTATTCGGGAGTCTGGCTCCTGCGAGACTCGGGGTAGGCCATCCCGCAGTACGCGCACGCCCTGCAGGCGGGAAGCCCGAGATGTTGCCTACCCACCAGGCGCCATGAGAGCTTGCGGAGGCTGATCTTTCGGCACCTTCGTATAACGGCGATTGGCGGGCGTAATTTTAAGATGATTGCTCACGCTGCCGCCGACCTTCTCTTATCGGGTTTGTTTTTCATTGGGCGAATACTGCTCCGCAACATATATTTTCGGAAAGGGCGTAATGCGGCGTAATGGCTCCACAGCAACCAAGCCTCCGCGCCGTGTCCAGCCACGAACCCCGGGCGCGCAAGGCGATCCTAAACCCAATCAACATTCCAGTGCTCGCCTCACCTCGCCTCTCCCGGCCTCGCCGCCCGCATCAAAGTCCACGAGTGCGTCCGGGGCGTGGGGGCGGCGCCGGGGGCGGCCCCGGGGGCGGCACGCAGCACACACCACGCCGGCCTCCACCCCGGCCAGAGTGCGGTGCCCACTGATTTATCAGAACATTTCCAGCCGGGTGCACACCGTAAGGTGCATGTGAGTGTGAGAGAGAGAGAGAGAGAGAGAGAGAGAGAGAGAGAGAGAGGGAGGGAGTGCGTGTGTAGACAAATGTGGGGGTAGGGGCTAAGTGGGGCGGGAGAGGGGATGGTGGGGATAAGGGGCGCGAAGAGAAAGAGGGGAGAGGGGAGCGTTGGATCGCGCATCCGATTCCGACTAAACTCTGCTCGGAATCTGTTTGTCCGTAAAGCTCGCGCACCGCTCACCGCCCAAAACAAACGATTGTTCACCGCACCCGCGGAATGCCGCGTGTGCAGGCTCTGGGGATCTGAGGGTGTTGGACGGGGGTGGGGGCTTATTCTCTGGAAATCTACTATCACGTTCGGGAAAAGGGGGTAGGTGAATGGGGCATTTGTCTACCTTATGTCTACCTTAAGTTTATTGAAAACAACGACGGGAAACGGGCAGGAAGGAAGAGGGGTGGGGTAGGGTAGGAGAGCGAAGCCTGAAGGCGCAATTTGTCATGTGACATCACTGAAACACACGCAAGCCGGGAAGTGGGCGACCAGAGTAAAAAAAAAAAAAACAGAGCAGACGGCCGATCTGCCGACTACTCGCAATGCCGACTCCACGACGAACGAACCACGAACACGACCTCGGCCTCATTAAACCCGCCAATTAAAAACAGCGGACGCCCTCATCCAGCCTCATCGCGTGCTCGAGATGAAAAACAGACCACTGATACTGTATCATCTGCTTAAAATTAAACTGTTTTCGCGAAACTTCAACGCCAGGGGGCACCTTGACCGCGGGTCGCGGACCCTGACCCTAACACCCGGGAAGACCGGATGGCCAATTCCATGGTCACGGCACGATTTAACCGGTTTCACACCAGGTCGCCGTATCCTGGCCGAGTGCGCACGCACGCACGCACGCACATACAACCACGGTGCGAGGGATGCGGGGCGCGAGCTCGCGCTCTAAAGTGAGGTTAGTCGACTTACATTTCTCGTTGGGCGCGCCGGCCGCGGGGCTGAAGGCGCCGGCCAGCAGCAGCAGCACGGCCAGGGCGCAGAGGCTGGCCGCGGGCCACGCCGCGGGCCGCCGGGGCCCCGGGGGGTCCTGGGGCGGGGGCCCAGGGCCCCTCGTCCTGAAGCTCATTGCGACCCCGCTAGCGTCATCTTGTCAACAACATGGCCCCGCCATGGACCCGCGAGCGCCTCCCGCGCCCGCCCGGCGGCGGCACGGGTTTTCTTCTTGAGCCCTAGCGCCGTCGGTGAGGCCGCCGTCGGGGTCCCGGGTAATCCATGGGGGTGTGTCGGCGGCGGCGAGGCACAAGCGCTGACGAGGCGGGTAGCGGAGCGTGTCGGCGGCGCGGTTCAGGCGGCACTGGCGTAGCACTGAGCGTGGAGGCTCTCTGGGCGTACCGACGCGACGCGACGGGGCAGCCTGGCCGCGCTCTGACCAGAGCCAGGCAGTCTGCACAGGCCCCGCGCCGCCCCTCCCCTATGCCCCGCCACGCCCCGCACCCCACCGCGGAGCCCCCACTCCACCCGCGGGGAGGGCCGCGTCCGCGGGGCGATCTCGGGTTCCTCGTCGCCGGCTGGCATGGGCACGGTCCGCGGGAGGGTGGCGCCAAGCTAGGCGACGGCGGACGCAGCCGCGCAGATATCGACCGACTCCACCGCCGCCGCCCCAGCGTAGCTCAGCGTAGCGCCGGCACGCAGAGGCAAGGGAGCTTCGGCTCGGCTCGGCGCACGCACCCATTCCACCCCTTCCCTCGTCCAACCCCGCCCAACCCCGCCCCGAGGCGCCCGCCCGCCCAGACTTATGCACCCCGCGTTTGGTGTCCACGACCGTCCTTCCAAAAGCCAGCACCACAGCATGACACCGTGAAGTATGAGTTTGGCCACCCGAATATATGGAACGTGCAAGCTAGTACCGACGAAATACCTATGGCCCCACGCCCAAATACACATTTCGAAAAATCAAAAAATTATTTTTATTTAAAAAAACATTTTTTATTTTACAAAAAGAACATGGTATAAATGAAAGAAAACAATTAACACGTACGGGGTCTGACCTAGCTATTTTTTGTCATACCATATCTAAATTTGTGTGTGCGTGTATGGCCAGTTTCTTTCCGTTTGAGGAAAGCTGCAAATACTGACGGCAGAGTGTGGTGAGGGGGTTGCCGCGGAGCGAAAGGCGGAAGGGGGGCTCATACGATGTGTTCGGGACGTGCAGCCATGCTGAATGGAAGGGTGGGGGTGAGCGCTTGGAGGGTTGTTCACCCCCGGTGTCCCTGGCACGGTGTCGCCCTCCACCGGAGCCTTGCTGAACCAGAACGAGAAAAAGGAAATTACGTTGATTCCGAAATTTATTGAGCACCATGTTGTTCACCATGGCGGCGAAGGCCTGTATTTTGGGGTTTCTTGTTTCTTTTACAGAAAAATATCTTGCATTGTAGATATCAAGTTGGTATCATCATGAAATTGGACCAATCACATTATCAACCCACATATCTGCGTGAAACGCGTCGCGTTGATTTCTCGTTTAGTCGTTCTGGAAATACTGGCAGAATATAATTTTCGGAAGATGCCTCTAGTCGCAGATTCTGGTAGTTCCCTACTTTTTCCCCACTTTAATGCGTTTTCACGTAACCCAAGGAAAATGGGACGCGTGTACTTGTGAACTTCCCCCGCGCCCAAACGCCCAAATAGGAAGCCATGCAAGATTATTCACAGGCTGAAAGGACACGTACCACAAAGTCGGTATTCGCAGGGCGTTGGTTGTTTAGAGAGATGTCACCATGGCTGACAGAATTGGTGGACAGCACGGTCATCAAAATGAGAAAAAAATCAGGTTTAGAACTAGCTCTCGAGTTGTTTACAACAACGAAAATAAAGTAGAGGACTTGTTTAATGAAGCGGACTTAAAGAACAGTTGGGACAGGCAAGACATTCTGCGTGACCAAGAAAATCCTCGGTCGAAGATAGGTTAGAGACATTGTTATGATACTCTACAGTGACATCTGTTCGCATTTTTAGAACACCTTCTTCTCATTTAAGTTAAATTTACTTTTCCTCTCCTGCGTAAAGTGTCATATGTATATTTTGTCTTTCGATTATGCTATTTAATTTTATTGATATTCTATACTTGGAAAACCATTGTGACCTCTAAAGACAGACATTGAATCTGATGTATTTTTGCTTAAGTTTAAAACTGGCTTCTGCAATTCAACTGTCGTCTACATCTTTTTAAAATTTTCATGATGTTGATTAATGAAATTATCATCTTCAAGCTTTTTTTCTCAACATGACTTGTTTCCTTGTTGAATGATAATCCTCATCACCTTTTACTCCTTTTTCTTCAGATTTCCAGAGAAGACCGTCACTTTTAGAGTTTCTTCGGGTAGAGTTAACGCGAAGCTATCTTCTTGAACATGATGAAGAGCGTTACTCTGCTCGTCGTGAAAAGGTTTATTCCTTTATGAAAATACCCAGGGAGGTAGAAAAGTTTATGACATATGGATTCTTCCAGGTAAAAGCGCGAAGCTCAAGTCATCACTATACCTTGCAGCTGAAATTTTGGTATTAAAACTATACTGTTCTTCAATACATTTGTGATTTCTTTACAGTGCGCTGATTCTTTCCTGTTTGTTTATACTTTCCTGCCCATGCGATTTATTATGGCTTTCCTCTCTCTTATCACAAGGCCATTGCGTGCTTGCTTTGGGTAATTTTCCTCCTTCCCCATTTTTTTTATTATGGATTCTCTTAAGAAATTTATTCAAAACATTACTTTTCTCCAAAACCACTTCATTGAATGCTTTTGTTGTATTTTTCAGAGGGTCAAGACAAATTAGAACCAGAAGCATTTTGGCTCCAGCTGAAATATGTGACCTTCTGAAGGCTTGCATCTTAATAAGCTGCAGTATGCTTATGTTCTACATTGATACAAGTATGATGTACCATCTAATTAAGAGCCAATCTGTCATAAAATTATATATTTTCTACAATATGTTAGAGGTAGAGTCCTTAAATTACCACCATGTAAACATGATCAATCAACCAACAGTAAATAGTATTGTAAAATTATCTACACCGCTTGATTAAATTTCTAGGTTGGCGATCGTCTTTTCTCTGCCTTTGGACAGGACACAATTGATGCTTTATTCTGGACAGCCACAGAACCAAGGGATCGTAGAAGAGAACACCTTGGAGTTATACCTCATCTATTTTTTGCAGTTGCATATGTCTGTATCCTTTCTGTGTAGAACGCTTCAGAATCAATATTACTTTATTTAAATTGATTTGCATATCATCCTTAGTGTTGAGTCAGTTCTCCATAGCCTCCTTGTTCTCTGCCAGGCCACAACGCTTAATGTTGCCATAAATTCCAACAACAAAGCTCTTTTAACCATTATGATGTCTAATAATGTGAGGCTTATTGTCAATGCAGTCTTCAGGTGTATCTAGCCTGGTACATTCTAATATCCATCTTCATCTTCTTGCAGTTTGTCGAACTTAAAGGCAGTGTCTTTAAGAAATTTGACAAGAACAATCTTTTCCAAGTGTCTTGTAGCGATGTTCGGGAAAGATTTCATCTTTTTGTTCTTTTATTCATCGTAGTACTACAGACCATGAGGGAATACTCTTGGAAAGAAGGTCAGTATTAATTTTAATGCAAGAGATCTTGTATCTCTTGTTTAATGTTTTGCAAATTAATTAGGTTTTGAGTAAATTTGTAACATTTTCAGAACGGTTGTGGGTACTTGTACCTGATTGCCTGATGGTGTTGGTAGCTGAGGTTCTCGTTGATTGGATCAAGCATGCTTTCATCACACGCTTTAATGAACTCAAGGTTGATGTTTACCGTGATTACACCATCAGTCTTGCCTATGATATGGCTCAAACTAGACAAAAGCATGTAAGTACTTTTGTCTACTTTAAAATTGAAAAATGTTCTTTTTCTTTTACTATGCTTGTTTTTATTATTCTGCTGTCTTTTCATTTTTCAAGGCATTTTCGGACCACTCTGATCTAGTTGCACGTCGAATGGGGTTCATACCCCTACCCCTTGGAGTAGTCATGGTTCGTGTCTTAGCTCAGGCCCTAAATATCGAATCAGCTGCCTCAATTTGCCTGTTTGTGCTTGGCTATTTATGTGTGACATCATTCAGGATTTTAATATCTGTAGTTATACTTGGCAAAGCCTGTGATTTAATCAATCAGCACCGACTTGTGAGTATTTGGTATTCCTTTCCTATATTATCTATCAAGTATTTAAATTATTATTTAGCTATCTCTAGCCATACTCCCAGTGTCCTAATCTTTTTCTATGATCGACTTGATATTTAATTATTTATAGGACAAGGCACAACGGGCCGGGGACATGACGCCTCCCTGGAATCGTGCAAGTAGCCCAACTAGTCATAGTCATGCTGCAAATGGAGGTCGGGATAGATCAGTAGTCCGACAACTTGTTCTGACCCCTATAACTCCAAGCCAGTCCATACCATCAACTCCAGCACCCCTTTCACCAGAAACTTATCATTCACCAATGCAAACAAGTCGAATTGAGAAACCTATTCAAGAACCAGCAAGAAAAGTTTCAAATGTAGATACTAATGCAACAAACTTGGGACCTGCTGCTATCTTCTCTAACAGTGCTGTAAGTACTCCTCTACTATTTTATTTCACAATCTTTTAATCTTACAAAACATGTGGATGTACTTGTTTGTATTGTGTTCCGTGTTCAAGCAGCTGCATTAGAGTTCAGCATTTCTTAGACACAGCTCACATTTTAAGAGGTATTATCAAAATCCATTGGTTTTCTTTGTTCTCAAACAGGTTGATATCAGCAATGTGTGCCTGAATGCAGAACTAATAGATGATAGACCTTCCCTTGGCATGAAACCTATTTCCGAAACAGAGGCTTTGACAAGAAGTGAACCAAATGTTAACAAAGAGGAGGAAAATGAAGATGATTCTCCATTAGACAACCCTCTTAATGATTCCCTTGCCAGACGAGCTGAGTCTGAACCATCAATACCATTAGCAATTGAGGCAGATGAGGCTCCATCAATTACTGCTCCTACTATGACAAGTGCTTGCCAACCTGATACATCCACCTGCTAATTTTGCCTGCATTAAATTGTACCAATTTACAGCTAAGCTAGGTTTCTTCTTTTTCGCACATTTTCCTTAGCTATAAGTTGTAAATTTCTGACCCAACATGTTTCATTGAGCCCTTTGATTGCTTGTGACTGTTGCCTTGCTTTTCTTCATTCAGTTTCTTCTACTCCAGGGACGAAAGTAAAAGAAGACATCAGGGGCAGGGGCCAAAAAAATAATTGAGTTTCTTAATTTGTTACAATTTGACTGTGATCATAAAGTTGTTGTAAGATTGATATCTTTCATAGAAGTGTAAGTGATTAAATTCAACCCTAAACCATTTTCTAAACTTTGTGGTAATAAGGTAGGAAAAGAGGTGTTCTCAGACTAATTTATTTTTTAATAATTAACCTCTAACATATTTCTAGGTATGATCTCTTTAGGCTTCCGCTGCCATTTAAATTAACAAACTACTGTGTATTTTTGTATTAGTTAAAATACAGTAGTGTACAAACCAATCTTGCAATTAAGGATTTCAACATGTTTGGTGTGTGGTAGAACGACATACCAACACTTATGTGTCGGTTTATTGGCTAGTCATGAGCTGTAGCTATCTGAGTCCAACCACTGCTTCTTGATGTTTTACCAAAACAAATAAAATGATAAAAATAATTTTCATCTTTATATATTATTGTGGTACCAAAAGTTAAACCTAAATTAATTACCATCAAATTGCTTCAAAAGTTATAAGAAAGCAGAAATAAGATGGTCTAACTTTGAGGTTTCATTAAAATATTTAAAAAAAAAAAAAACAAGTTGTCTCTAGACTAGAACAATGAGGTCTTTTTAATGATAACTTTGTTTTGGATACAATATAGACTAGAATATAATATTTGGTGCAAAGACTACAACTAAATTGAAAAAATACCAGAAAAGTAGAATAGAATATTTTGCATTGAACACAACCCACACTCTAATATATTGTCACACACAACACCAGTTTACTAAATTTATAGCAAACATACATAATAACTGAATAAAAGTGCAGCTTAAAAACAACAATTTTAATTTTTAGAAAATGTACCATAGGTAGCTATTAAGAGTGGTAAAAACTATTCACATGTAGAAGTGCTAATACTAGAAGAGATACAAGCAGAAGAAAGTTATTGTATACAATTAGGTGAGCTGTATTTTCTGATGACATGAAGGGATAAAAGAAGTCAGGGGGCAAACGGATGTGAATTGCTGGTGGTTCAGCAAATCGAGTAACTGCTGGAGAAGACACATCAACAAATTTTACGGTTGATACAATCCTCAAATGGAGAGATTCATTTCTTTGATAGCAAGTTTCCGATGAACAAGCCAATCCAATGTCTTGTATTGAGGTGAATCTGATGGGAAATAAAAAGACATGAATGCTTGAGCTAAGTTAAAAGTGGTAATGTGAATAACTTATAAATTAAAGGCAGCACACTAAAACGCTTACTTAAGAGAGGCACCAACAATTCTTGACTGTGGTTTTAATGTAGTGCCTACAAAACCATGCATTACTTGTAATTGGATCCCAAGTGGGACATTCTCACAGGTTTGCAGGAGACGATCCTCATCGGTGCCTTCTTTTTGGTCAACAATAGCCTGATTTGAAAATGGAGCTTGAGCGTCTAATAGAAGAGGAATCCATTCTTCTGGATTAGAAACATTCGCATTTCCAAACATTGCTATCATCCTTGGCAGGGAAAATAAAAGTCAGAATTTTGTGACAGACAATAATGGACCGTAACATAGCTACTTTATCATTAGTAACTAATAGATGTTAAAATTACAAACCTTCTCCACTCTGACATCAGGTTCCCATTCTCAAGGAATCCACCCTCATGTCCAAGAAGAAGGTGGAGCATTCTCATTCTTAGTCCTATGCACATGGACTGAGATGAAATGTTTTTAAGAGAGACTTCAACACCACATGACACATGCAAATCCTCTCCAAAAGTTACAATGTGCCTCTGGTTTGGAGTCCAATCACACATTCCTACAAAAGAAAAATTTCAGATTGGTACATTTAAAGACTAACACCAAATACAAAATCACTGTTCTCTTTAGGTTTTACCGTATAGATTTGATTTTGGTAATGTTATCCATTGCTTAGAATCAGGGCTCAGCTCAATTGTATGAAAATTGATACTGCCCCTCGATCCATTGGTAACATCTTTGCTGCTATTAGAATTAGACATCAGCTTCAATCCAGCTATAACTGGCTTCCCAACAGTATATCCTCTATTACCGCTGCGAGAGAACATCACACTTTTGGCTTGAGAAGCAGTACTGTTCATAATTTTCTCAGCCGTGCTATTAGAGGTTATCCATTTGAATTCCACAGAGAATGATTGATGGAGTGACTGGGTTGACCATTCTTCAGCTAAAGACATGTTAAGCAACCACATATAGGCTTCTACATGTTCTAGCCCAGCAGTTCCATTGTGGTGGAACACAAGCCTGTAAGCAAAAAGCGGGAATAATAATGAAGAAATTAATTTAAGTGCATTAAGACACTGCAATCTTTAACTCACATCAGTTTCTTCACAATGCCATGACAAATACTAGATTTTAATCCAAACACCATTCTGTCAATCGAAATATTTTTACAGCTCTCAGCAGAAGAGTTTTCAAATGGAGGGCCTGAGCATGTAAAGTATTTAACAGGTGCACATATAGAGCCTGGGCAAGTCTCCTGCTCAACCAAAAGAAAAAATGTTACATACTGATTTATGAAAGATAACTATTTACCTTCTTACATTCAACATACATTATTTTTAGAAATCATTCCAGTCTGATTTATGAGCATTGGTGACTGAACAATCCCTGATATCTGGCGGATTAATCCCAAGCTGACCTTTTCACAATCTTTTTGGGTTGAGGGAACTTTGCGAATACATTGTGATGAGGAAGGGAGAAGGTAAGGCACCCTTTTCATGGCAGAGCATGTTGTAGTCAATCCAGATGCTGGTAACTCTAGAAATTTTAATTTTTAAATTAATTAATTTTACATCAGGTTTCACTGTTAGAAAAATAGTAAATAGCAATTCTGAAGAATACAAGCATTGAAACTTACCTAGAGAAAGTATTTGGTTGTTTTGCAAGACCCAGATGGGGGACCCTGCTTTGTATGGCTTTGGTTTTTCAATTGAAAGCAGGATGCCAGAGCTTGGTTCTGGCCAAAATGATACATGTGCTTGTCTCCAAAGCTTAGAAAACTCTTGATTGCTTATGATTGCCTGTAATTCAAAATTATCACGAGCCATATTTCAATAATTTCAATAGAGTTATTACCTTACAGAAGTAACACTTACTGAATGTGAGGGATAAAGCACAGATCCTGCAAGATTTGAGCGCACAATACAGAATGCACCATTCTGTGTCTGTTTTAAAATATGTTCTGAATTGTTTAGAAAAACTAATTTTGAAGCATAGCAGTATCGGTTATCATACGGAGGGTAGCCCTCCACTTGGCAGTGGGAGAATGAGGTGCGGTGAAAGGGAGAGCATTCTGGATCACAACAGCAGTTTATATCACAAGAGTATGACTGAAAATATTTTAAAAAATTAATAAAAAATTTAAAACTATAATTTGTTTCCTGAAAATCCTAGGGTAAAAGTGTTCAATATTACCGTAAGATCACAGGCACATATTCCACTGTTGTCATAGCCCAAAGTAGCTTCCTCCAATGGTTTCTGTGCAATGGGTGACGCAGTGGGAGGTACTGTAGTAGTACTAGTAGTAGTTTTCTTCTGTATTTGAGTTGTGATTTCAAACTGATTCTTTGTCACATTTTCAGTAGGTATTGCAGAGGGACTTACTGCATTTCCCTCTTGTGCGGCAGGAATGGATGTAGTAGTTTCCAGACTAGGTATTTGGGAGGAGACTGGCACCTCTATACTAGATGCAAGAGTTTCATATGTGGAGCAAGTAATGCTTCCAATTCCACATGTTGTTGGGTCTGTTGTGGATGAGAGACTTCCTCCAGTTGGTGGTACAGTTTGACCAACAACTTGAGAAAAAAGGACAAGTAAGAAAATTACTAAGTCCATAGTTGATTTTGCTACCTTCATGTCTTCTGCCAGCAAGTTATGTTTCAACTCCGAATTTAGCAAAGTTTCGGAGAATGACAGAGATTTCAAGATGTACTGAGCCCATAGTTTCTGTTTGTAAACGGTAGCGGTCGGTAGAATTGTGAACAAGATCAGGCGTCTTCAGTTGAGCACCACCACCAAGAAAATGTTGTCTAAATTGTTCAGCAAGAGTTCCTGTTAAATAAAAGAAAGTTCTGTTTTAATAATTCTATTAGATTTAGTTCAATAAATAATTTAATAATTGTTTTTTGATTATTTTAAAATAATATTTTTATGGTTAATAAATAGTCACTTCAGAAGCCCGGAAACACGTTAAATATACTTTATAGGTACACGTGTCGGCGCCTCCTGTTATTTTTAATTTTTCTGAATTTGAGGCCTTTTAAGTGGGAGGGGTCTTAAACGCGTGGGGGGGGGGGGAGTCTTAGACTCAGGTGAATGCGGTAATATACTTGTTGCTAACCGATTGGTCTCCATGTCACAACATCAACTTTGTGGGTTCCTGGAGATGTTGGAATGTAGCAAAACCCATATCCATACACTTCACTGCGTCCAAACTTATCATAATGGTACACTTGGAGATGAATCTTGGGCCAACCTGAGAAATACATGTAGTAGTTCACCAGTTAGTATGAAATAATTGAAACAGACATTATAAATCTAGAGACGTAACTAAAATCTCAGACCTTGAACACCTTTGGTGGCAAAATGTACATCGATAGGGTGACTCCAAACAGCTATATCTTGCCAAGAAGGGTTGTCAACATGCGTCTGACCATCTGTTAGTCCTTCAATAACTCGCCAACCCGCACCTATGAATGATTGTCTGTTATGTGAGGATTCATTATCGAAATAACAACAAGCAGACACCACGAATGTCACCTGAAATACATTTACCTGCATGTATACCCCACTTGCAAAACAAATTATGGCTGGGGAACCCAGTTGCGCTCAAAATTTGACCAATAATGTGAACCTCGGCCATTTAACAAGGAAAAAGTCAAAGTTATCTCACAACATTGTCAAAAAAACTAAGATACTGCAACAGGGCCGAACAGCGTATTTTTGAAATTGGACTCCAAATCCAAACAAACTGGTTGTTTACATTTCCGCCTTCTAGAAAGGAAACATAAACTGACTGTTCAGATGTTTGGAGTAGTTTGGGGTCTTGCGACAAGGCCTCGAGTAAAAACAGAAAAAAATCTTTTCCTTTCTCCCTTAACTTTTTTTGTTTTATTACGATTATTTTTTGTCCGAACGAAAGCTCAGCTGCTGCTCTGGAAAGTTAGGTTGAACTTCATCATTACAGAACTGTTTTCTTCGTTCTACTCAATCAAAAGGCATGTGAATAAAACTTAAGTGTTATTTACTGAGACGTCTATCTAAATTGCATTGAAGTTACATGGAACACTTACATTAGTCAAGTACTTTGGGATTTTCACCCTTTGCTTTGTCATGACATTTTAACTGGGTCCATCGTAGAGAGAGTCTCACGAAGCCTATGAGTGAATTGAAAGCTCAATCAATGAGTATGTAAGTGCACAATCTTCCATGCACACCTCATTCAATAACCTATGCAACAGTGATCACTCCCAATGATCATCTTGTTGCTTTCCCTCAGTTAATCATGTTCTCTATGTGCCAAAAGTGAAGTCCTTAGCTAAGGTTCTCTTCTAATGAAAGCAATGATTTATCATGCACTGTCACTATTTTCTTCTGTGCAACCTTGATCACTTTGTTTATTGATGCAACAAGTATAGACATTGCCGATGTTGACATTCATCTGTAAAATTTAGTTATGTGTCCTGATTCTTCATTTGTTGAAGCCTGATAGATCCATTCATCTAAATAGATTAGATGATCTGACCCAGGTGCTGAAATTAATGTGGCGACGGTGTAAAGTTTTCTGCTCGAGTGGCCATACACCTGCATATAGGCATTTAACTTAAAGCAAACGTCAATTTACTTGCTGTTAATCATTTTTACGATATAAGTTCAAGTACGCTCCCTTAGTTTGAGTTTGAAATGGTTGGGGATGCGGCGTTGCCACATTGACCTCAACGGCTGGGTCAGATCGTCTATAGCATCAACTGACCCTAGAGTTTTGTTTGGATCCCGGTTATTTATATAGTTTTTTAAAACCAAGTTTTTATTATTTGTTGTAGAAATGTCTGCACTTAGTCTTCAGGCTCGTGTCAATACCAGATCTGTCAAAAAGTTGGAGAAACCTCGGCCCCTCAAACTATCTACATCACTAACTAGACATCCTGAAAATCGCCTCTCATCAGGGGGTATATCAGGTAATGCCTTGTTGTTCTAGCTGTATTTAATTATTCTTACTTTGCCTGCTGCTTGTCTATTAGAGCAATCATATTTTTTCAGTGGATGAAGTTATGACCCTGGCAGATTTAGTTTGCCAGCACATCATCAATGGTAACTGTGATCGTTCACTTCAATCTAATGTTTTGACCTTAAGTTCAAGCCTCAAACTGTATGGTCAACAACTAGAAACAATATACAAAGGTATGTTTAGCATCCAGTTTTTATACTCAACTTGGTATATTAAGCAGTTTTAAATAATGATATTTTTCAGATCAACTGGACCGTCTCTTTGTAACATTTCGAAACGGCTCACGTGATGAAAAGTTGGACTATGTATCAAGACTTCACTTACTTGAGTTGGTTGAGCTCAGGGGAGCAAATTGGACTGGAGGCGACAACATGTCTGATTATTATCGTCACAAAATCTCTCACACTCACCATGAGGTTTGTGTTAAATCTGTTTCCCACCTTTGCGCTAATTTTCTAGATCCTCCCATAATATTTGTATTATTTCAGCAAGAAGTACTGGAAAGTCCCGGTACACCTAGCAGTGCTCTTGCTGGATTGGGGCCATTTGGCCAGGCTGGCCCACTGGCCTTAGGCTTGACTCCAATGCCATCACCTACCACTCCACAACCAACTCTACTTGGCCCAGGAGAAATTCTCAAAACATCTGGCAAATTTCCTAAGCCTACTAAGATACCAAACAAAAACTACTGTAAGGATGAAGTTGTCATTCGTAATTCTGATTCAGGAAAAGGTATGTGAAAACTTTATATAAATTGAAGTAGTGGACAATGAATTGCAATTTTCATTTCTCTCTATCTCACTAGAAATTGTAGATTATTACTGTCTTTTATCAAAACATATTGTTGTTTTGATTTATATTGTTGTTTTTCTTTTCTTTTTTCAAATCAACAAAAACAATTGAATGACAAACTTCTTTTGTTTTTTGGTCTCATCATATTTCTCCTATTAAGTGTATTGTAGTTGGTTGCTACTATTATTTTTTATTACAGCAGTCAGTAGTAGCACAGTATTACCCTTATTTTGTCATCTGTATTAAGAAATAAGGACAGTCTATATATTATGCCTACCTTCTTTTTCTTTAACCTGACTGTACCTTAATTGTCAGTGGGTTGTTAGGGAAGGGGAAACCATTGTTAGACAACTGTGTGTTTGTTTTAGTGATGGGAATCAAAGGACGCAGGGTGCACATGATCGAAGAAATGAGTGAAACCATCATTTCATTTCAGAGAGGTAATGAGTTAGCTGCATGAGTTAGTTGCCTGTAACTAACTAAAACCTAATGCCTTCTGTATTGAAAGTCAAGATTTATTGGAGATCACGGGAAGAATGTCAATTATTTGGATGTTTGCCTAAATGGACTCGACAAATGTAAGGTTTGGTAGTTCCACCCAGGGAATGTTCAAAGTCACAATTTTTAGTAATTTTCAGGAAATATTTCTGTTTAAAACTTATTGTCGGTCAAAAGTTTTCCAAATACTATTATTTGTAACTGTTGAAAAATCAATGCATCGTTGATTTGGGTTCAGTGGTTTGAATTTGTGGCTGTGGGAACTGTACTAGATTTACAGTCAGCACCATCTACATTCCATTCCTCATTTTATTCTTTTTGATTCCCCCCTCCCCTCTTCTACTTTGTATTGCAAGACTTTGGACATTCACTTAACTAGATCAGCAAATCTTACTTTTGCCAGAGCAGTTGGAAGCATCCTTGTCAATATCGTTTTTTTTTTTCTTTGGTGAAGCTTTCTTTGCTGTTCTCTGGCCCTTCGTTGTAACCTGTGTATTGGGAATCTGATCATTGCTTATTTCCTTGATTAATGCGTGTTTGGCGTCATTTATCCGTAATTTTAATCTACCAACTCACAACCTGTGACTGTGATTTTCTTGTAACATTTTTATTGCTTTATATGACCTATGTGTGGTAAGTCAGTGCTTGTGCAAGTGAATGTTGTCGTCAAAGATTATTTCAAGTTCTAATCATGGTGCTGTTTCTGTTCGACTAATGTGCTTTATTACCAAGCTTGTGGTTAGGAGTTTTATTTGTATCCCTTAACTTTTAAAGCTGTTTAATCATGAACACACATTCTATTCTCTCACTCATCTTTCTCCCTTTTTTTTTTGTAGTGAATCCAGGTGCCAAAGAACGACTGGTTCAAATCACAGGTCCTACAGAAGAGAAAATTATGTGAGAGTCGGCTATAGCAGTATTTTACATATTCTGTCCTCAAGCTCAGTAAAATAAGCAATTGTTTTTTCATTTCAGCCATGCCAGGCAATTAATGGAGGACACAATACGACGTAATGCTTCACCTGTCAGACCTGAGCAGCCTGAAGGACTACGTGAGCATCGTGAGACATTGGGTGGTTCAAGTTCAAGCTTGAATAGTAGTGCATCAGACGACAGCGCTCGCATCTCACAAGGAGGTATTTTTAAATGAGATTGTTCCAATTATGTTAACACACTTACTTATTTTTGATGCAAAACTGTAATGCTATACATTCAGACACACAACTATGTTCTCAAACAAGATTTATTTATTAGGTGTTAGGCGTTCCACCCTGTTGCACAGCTTTTCTACAAATGATGCCAGTCTTGGGGAGTACAAGTACACAGTGGCAGTCGGTGGCTGTGTTCTCAAAATTACTGGATCTAATCATGATATAGTGCGGGTATGATTTTTCATAATATCATTCATTTATTTTAATGTTAGAGTATGTGAGAAAACATGTTTGCATCACCAAAATATAATTTGCCTGCAGGCTGCAAAACTGGTTTTAGATGAGTACTTTGCAGGTCAAGACCATGGATACTTTGATAGGTAAAGTTTCAATAATTATTTTAAAATAATACATACTAGTAATATTACCATATTCACCTGAGTCTAGGACCCCCCGGAAGTAGGACCCCCCCCCACCCCCACCCATTTTAAAGGGCCCAAATTAAAAAAAAAAATTAACGGGAGGCGCCGAGACGTGTATAAAGTGTATTTAACGTGTTTCCGGGCTTCTGAAGTGTGCGGGACCCCCCTTGGCTTAACCTGGGCGTATAAGACCCCCCCTTACTTCCGCGACGAATTTTTGGCGAAAAAAGGGGGTCTTAGACTCAGGTGAATACGGTAATAGGTAAATAAAGTAATTTTTATTTGTAATTTGTTATTTTAATCTTTAAATGTAGCTATGAGGAAGAGTTGCCATCACCTACATCCACCAGTGCAATTGCTACAAATGCAGCCTCCATCACCACCTCTTCCCCTAACTTGGGCTCTACTGTGGAAACTGTTCTTGCTGCTTCCTCCGGCGTACCAACACATTCTGCTGCTCCATCTGGAACAATTTTAGCTTCTGCTGTACCTGTTCCTCAGATAGAAAGTATTGGATCCAGTAGTTCCAATCCACATACAATCTCTACCATTGCAGCTAGCAACAGTGGGGAAAGTTCAACCAGTGAAAGTGAGGAAACCATTAGATCTGCTGCCCCACCTGGTAATAATTAAAACTTAGTGGTTTCTATGTCAGTAACCAAATGGTGTGGGTCAAATATATCCTGTATTTATTTGTTTCAATCTAATTTAGGATCAGAACTTGTGAAGCGAAAACAGTATAATCTTGAAGAACTGTTGACTTTGGCTGCTAGCCCGATTTCTCGGGAAGCTCCTCTTGAATGGCAACGAATTGCCAAAGAATTTCCGTCAATAGTGAAGAAGGTACAGGAAATTTGGACTTGTGGTTATGCTGGTGACTATGTGGGCAACTATGGAAGCTATTGCTATGACTACGATTACATGAGTCATTACATGGGCAGCTATTACCCCAATGGTTATGTGACTGGCTATATGACTGATATGCATGGAGCATGTGCTATTAAGTGGAGTCCCTGGGGCCAACGTAAATACACCCGCCATTTGATACCATTTTACAGACCTACTTAACCATCCTACCCTCCCCTTACCAAACCTGCAGGTGATATATCTTCTCACCTTTACCCAAATGACCCAGCTTTTCTCAATTAATTCTTGCTTTGCATCTTGTAATCTGTAGTGCTTAGGTTAGGTCCATGCTTTACATGAAATGGCTTAGTTTGCTGTCATTACCATGCAAATCTTGTGTAGACATGCAGCCTGAACTTGGTTTTGAACTTGAGATGAGCTATGACTTATGTTCATTTGTTTTGCTTTTACAGACGGATCCCTTTGAACCATCTCAATATATTCGTCCACGAGATGCTGTCTGCAACACAGTCATCAGTGCTTCTGAATCAGGATCACCAGACCCTGAGTGAAAAGCAAGTACAAAAAAGGGGTTTAAGATACCTAATAAAAATTGTCAAAGCTTCTTTAATTTAGGAAATTTTTGTCAGTGATTCTTTTAAATGTTTACATAACTTTCTAACTGACTTGAGGTTAAATCTTATTTTTCCTTGTGGTATTTTTAGGCAATACTGACTACATAGCATCCTCTTAACTGTATCTGATTCTATCTGTACAAGGTATACCACCAACGTTTGTTTGCGCTGTTCTTTCCTTCCGGTTTTGTCACCAATGCCAAACATGAATGTTTGACTGAGAACTGGAATTGGTGTGTCCTTGCCGTTAAAAAATGTGTTATTTCTCTTTTCAGTATTGTATGTTTATTTATTTATTTCTGTATGTATATGAATTATATCCTGATGCTTCCTTTACTTAAAGAAGTCAGGTGCTGTAGTTATAAGGTATCAGTCCTGATGATTTGAAATCTAATCAAATCTTTGTGCACTATTGTGTCAATGGCATAAAGTCTTGGTTTCTTTGCCTCTGCTAAAGATATTTCTTGAAGTTTATGATATTAGTTTACAAAGGAGTACTTTGAGCATGTTCCATTGGAAGATCTGAATTGGACAAGTCTTCTGTCATTATTCTGCATTCTGTTCAAATTATTTTTTTGTGGGGGACTTCCATTGCCGAGTTACCCAAGCTTTTCATTTTTATAAAATCTATTTTTATTCTGAAGCTTAAGATTAACGAGCATAGACCAATTAGTGAAGTCTGTCTAGTATTGATTTGTTGTTTCCTGTCATTCTTGTCTTTAACCAAAGCGATTGTAGTTTTAACAAGTTCTGTAAGTATAACATGTGATCATTTCCCAAAATATTCATTTTTGTTGATATTTTGTACCAAATTTTGAAGTTTGTGTGATTATTAGTCAAAAGTGCCGTAAACCAAGGTGCTCCCAGGAATCTCTTAAATTTATGTTCAATGAGGTACTATTTTGCTTGTTTACAAATGACTGTTGGATCTGATATTTCCTTCATTTAGAACTCCTGTGATTCTGATTTTGTTTTCTGTTGCTCACATAATTATGTTTCAGTATTGAAATTAATGTATTGACCACTGTTTGTAATGATCTATTACTAATCTCATGTGTATTTGATAGTGTTGTCAAAATGTATTAAAGTCACTCCCCTCCTCTTAAAGACTGTGACCTAATGTTTTTGTTACAAAGAAATTTTATTGTGATTATATTCTATTAAAATTGGAAATAAATTTGCGTTAAGACTACGTTAAAATATTTTCAAATTGAAAATTGACAGAGTTGCAAGTTGAAAAATGACGAGAGATATCATTAATTTCTTTCTTTTATTTGCTTGTTAGGACAAGTTTAGTATAAACACTTTTTGCACATCTCTCTTCAGTACCAGACATCTCTTCAGTATGCTTATGGTCCCTTGTCCTTCCTCCATTGTTTCAGCATGAGTGTTTCATTTTGACATTTTTTCCTCATCTTTACTCAATTTTGGCAGTTGCCTAAAACAAATATCGATAGCTCTACAATTAACATGGGGACGATACTTCAAACAAGAGTTACCAAGGTAATACTGTGCTTACAACCAGGGAAAATGGTATAGCATCGGCTCTTTTAAAATGAACTGTTTTGAGGCCTTTTCCTCCCATCCACACAATCTACCTAAACATTTGTATCACAGATGGAGAGATGAGTAATCAGTTTGACAATCACAGACAGATGATAGAACATTTGTAATCCACAGCTAAAACAAACAAAATTATGGAGACAACAAAATAAGTTTGCAAATATAATAAATTTAGTACAAGACAAATAAAAACAATGTGCTACAACAATGAGCACATTATCCAGCTTTAAATTGACATGCCACCCTGTGTTTCACCAGGACATGGCAAAACAAGCAGGCAGACTCACTCAATTCACAGTTACAAACTGTGCAATGTGTAAGTACACAGCAGGCAATTTGAAACTTTGTACTGACTGTATAACTAGCATGCTTCCAGTCAATTTCTTTTAATGCCCCCCTCAAATAACTTATAAAATAAGAAAAAACTGCTAAATAACTACAGAATTTGTTATGATTCACAGCAACAGCATTACTGTAAAGCAGATATTCCAGGCAAACGGTGAAAGTGAAAACGATTACAATCCAAACATTTAAGAGAAAAAATTGAATGGGTATTGATGGTTTATTTCTTCTATGGACAAAGAGTAGAAGAATCAATAAATTTTCTCAAGAGAGAACAGTTCAACACAATAATAAAATTAATAACAACATGTACTAATCTTCAACTAATCAATAATCATTTTGGGTTCGAGCAGTGAAGGGACATGACAATAAAGCAGGGCAGCAGAAAGGTCATCAATCTCAAGAAAGATCACAAATTATAAAAATTATGTACAAGAAACAATATAAGAAAATAATAATACGAAAAGATGATGCTTCTATCGCCATTTAACTGTGCCTTCCAATTGAAGTTGGTTTGAAAACATTGGTCATCTTCCTAAATACAATCCTGGTTTAATAGGTAAAATACCAATCTATCTTGACAGATAGTGAATTGCACTTATTACAGAAACGCAGGACTTAACTCTCCTCCCTCAACTACTGTATACATGAGTACGGAAAACTGAATTTAACGAACCCTTACATTGGTACAGTTGGGCAGTTATGTTATGGTAGGTACTGTTACAGAACTTCTATCTAGACATTGTTTGGCACATGTGAACACAAAATTTCTCACACTAAAACTGTTTTGCTTAAATGGAATATATGGTAGAAATTATATAGGTACCCAAGAACAATAGGGAGGAAAGAAGAGTGTTCCAGTGGGTGAGGGCAGTCATGCATACTATACTCAAATAACACATTCCAATGTATGACTCCTTTGCGAACTCAGAGACAAAATTCTGATAAAAGGATAGTATACGAAGAAAATAAAAATCAGATCACAACAAATAAAAAGCCAATCTTAGTATGATTAAACTCAGACAAAAAAATAATAAAATAAATCATTTATTGCTTTGATCCAGAATTTTGTACTTCTTTGGCATAAGTTAATAAAATGATTCCGGGAAGATTTGGTAGGTATTCCCACAAGTCACTAAAACACACAACATTCCAATACAAATAAGATTTACGTTCTTGAAGTTACATAAAAAACAAAATCCTTCCATACAATGATGTGCTTTAGACTGACTGCAAAAATAGTCTCATTGAAGGAATAGAAACTAAAATGAAACCATAAACTGCAAGGATTTGCTGACTACATACCAGTTTCTTTCATGGTAAGTACAAATGTTCACCAACAGTAAAAGAGGAAAGGCCAGAACCAGAAATGTCCCCACAAATGTCTCACACATCAAACTTTAAATGAGTTCACATCAGTAATATGGCAATACCACTATTGCAAGAGTGTAAAGTCAAGGGCGGACAACTTTAAATTTATGTGATATTAATTTCAAACCAATAAAAATCATCAAAGATAAAAAAATAGCCTAAATATAGATCCAAAGAAAAGATATTAATAAGTTTTGCACTGAAATGGGAACTAAAACCAATTTGGATTCTTTGAAATTCTATGTCAAATAGAGGGATAAAGTTCTCATCTTTGAAAGAATACAATTCTATTACTCCATCATTCGGAACTTTGTTAGCACAGAGATACGTTTCTTACAAAAGCCAAATGAAAAATGTAGGAGATCCTTGGCCCCTTGAACAAAATATGAAATACAGTATCTATGGACACTCATGCAACTTTAGTTATTTATCAGTGTACGTAAAACAAATGTTTTGCCTGGCAAAGATTTCGTTTGCATAGCAAACAAGCATATGAGACACAACATAACTTTTCCAATCAGGAGGCACATGTTTTCATGATCTTGACAACAGCGAACCACACTAAATGAAAATATATCAAATGACTATATATTTTTAATTCATAATCATAATTAAATGAGTTTCATGATCTATCATCTGGTGACATTAAAGGAATATGAAAACTACCAAAAATTTTCAATGCATGAAACACATACACAGCTTGATAGGATTTACACAGGACATAACAATACACTGTCTATACATTTGTACAAGACTTAAAGTTCAGCTAATTAACAGCCTAAACCAGCAAACTGAATGCTGTCAGGTTGACACTGTCAGTTCCCATTGAAACAATTCACAATTACTCCTAAGAGACTATTGAATAGATAAGAAGACTGTAAAGATTGTACAAACCTCTTCCACCACACCAATATTTTATCATTTGTTCACTGATAAACACTCAAGACAGATATATATATATCTATACATATATATATGTACACACATACATACATACATACCCATAAATACATTGAGTTTTTGTACAAAATTACAAGAACAATTTCATTTGCATGATTTTTACAAATGCCAGAGAACTTGTGATAAATATATTGGCTCTGAAAACAGGAACAGTTTTAGCACAGAGCAGTTTCTAAATCATCTCTTAGCGCTCAATGTGCCCCAGGTCTTTAAATTAAATTAAATTAAATTGTTGAATACGACAGGTTTTTTTTAACTCCCATGATTTTATCCCAGGATGAGGCCAGTAAACGGTGGAATCATTTTCAATGTAAGAAGTGCACTTAGCCCATTAATACCAAGAGTCTGCTGTTAAACTGATATAAAAGCTCAGACACAATAAAGGAATCAAAGACAAAAGAGGGGTCTCCATCAAAATATATCGTAGAAGATAACAAAAAATTAGAAGTTCACATTACCTCCTGATTGTCGCTCTAGTAACAATAGAGAAAAATTTCAACTAGAACATAGCCACAACCTAGCAGTGGAACATATAATAACATAAAACTTCAATTTGAGTACTCCATATACAAAAGTAAACATGCACACAAAAAGAAATTGACTTTAAGTCAAAACAGTCACAGAAAAGATAGATAAAAAGTCAGTGTATGCTCAGACTGGAAATGATGTGCCCCTGGCTACAATTTGTCCACATCTTTCTTTTTAACAAAGACCTTTATTTAATTAAAATAAAAAAATTAAGAAACTCTCCAGGCAGTAATGAGCTAAGATAGAAAAAAAATTGGTTGCAAGTGATGTCACATGGGAGCGATATGTTGATCCAAACTGTTTATAAATTATTTAGCATGAACAATAGATTTGACACAAATAATGAGATATGAAATGGCGAGAATGACAAGTCTTTCCAATGGTGTTAATGGGCAACTATTGCACTGTTTTCAAGTTACCTATCCTTCTTTGAGAGGCTAGCTCATGTGATTTTCACGGCCACGAGCAGGTAATCGAAGAAGACGTCTTAACCGATTCACAAAGCTCACCTGCTCATGAGCCGTAGACCTTCGTCAGGCGCTTTCAGAAGGTAGAGGGGAAGGCACACAAGGAGAATGCACCTGTGCCATCTCTTCGTTTACCTCCCCCTCCATACCAGGTAGTCACAGTTTCAGTTCATTAGCTATTTTGGATGCAATGTTCTTGAAGCCAATAGATGTCCCAGAGATACGCTTGAACCGTACACCATTAAGGGACAGACGAGGCAATTTACACACTTCAATTTCCCACTGGACTAGGGAGTCAGTGTTTGGGTCTCCATGTACACATAATAGCAAAAATCTCTCTCTTTGCTCATAGTCACAGTTATTGGCGTCCAGCACCTGTAAATAGATAATAAAAAGTTTTGTAAGAAATACGTAAGTAGGTTAGATTATAACCTTAGGATGGATTGACGTTTACCTTTCTAATTTCTGCCATTATTTCATTTGGGTCCCTTGAAGATGTTGTTTTCATACTCCAAGTGAATCTTAGAGATCGGGGCTTCGCTTGGTCATCATTCACAGCACCACTGAACATAAAGGAGAAAAACAAATAATTAATAACACTAATTCACAGAGCAAATCCTTTTGATTCTTTGTCACCATATTAACTTTGTGCCAAGATTAAGAACTTATCAACAAAGCTGTCTAAGTAAATAAAGAGGAATATCTGAACACTGTTCCAAGAAAAAATTAAGTAAGGGGAAAAAGATAGTGCTACTGTGTCAATTAACTGTCAATCAACAGGTAACTCAAAAAAATAGATAGATATCTATATTGTTTTGAATACAATTAGTTAATTTGGTTCACAAAACAATTCCAAACCTTTGTATTTTACAAATAAAACATGAAACTGCATGCACTAGAAATATGGTTTGCAAATAGAAACGAGCTTAAATGCGTAGAAAAGGCACTACTAAATGAGAAAAGGTGCTTTTCTCATTTCTACACACAATGTATTTAGAACAGACACCAATGTGAACTGTAACTTAAACTGTTGACTCCTCTTTAACTTGACAGAATTGTACTAGGTGAAAACTAAAGAATTATAATAAACCCAGAAGAAAGCCTAAAACAAATTGATAAATTCCTCATTTAATAAGATGAGTACAACAGCAACTTAGCATACAAAGGAGAAATATGAAATATGTATAAAATTTAGATGAACCATAGAAGAGGACAGTGCGTCCCATTGGCACCATACATTTTTATCCGTTATGATGTACCGCAAGCGAGAGAGCAGGTAACCTACAGCAAGTGGTACAGAATAACTAATAAACAAGTTTGACCTGTGGGACACCCTATGGTTCAGATGGTTCCAAGTAAGTTGTTTTATTCATGAATGAGTAAAAGAGGGAAAAAAAGAAACAACAGGGAATGTTCTCTTGAAAAGTGAAACAACTAAAAAAGAAAATAGAAGAAAGAAAAGGAAATGAGCCCCAAAAGATTTAAAACAATTTTTGTAAAAAATCATGCAAAATAATTGAATAAATAAATCACAAGACTAAAACATACCTAACTAAATGCTTAGGAGGCGGATCCATGGGGCTGAAATTAAAACATAAAAGAAAAATCAAATATAAAAAGATCATTCAAACACATAATAGCATGAGCAAACACACAAATGCACACACGACTGAGCAAACATTCACAGTGTAAGGCAGTAAGGCCTATCATCACTACATATTCTACAAAACCAAGGGGCAGTCAGAAACCAAATACCAAGCTCTTTGATTCACTACATTTTGGGAGAAGGTATTCTATTTAGTGGGGGTGCAAGTTGAAAGCAAGTAAGTAACTGTTACTACAAAAAGAAAAAAAATTGAGTACTACCAAATTTCGATCAACGACATGCCTTAGAAACACCATTATACACTGTAAAATAGTACCTCGGGGATTAAAGTATGAGGAGGGATTATTTTCCCAAAAGGAGAGAAGTTAAACCAGCCATGGTGCAAGTAAAAAAAAAAAAAAAACGAAAAACAAAAAGAACTCACTCATTTCTTGGGAAACGAAGAATTGACAAATTTCTGAAACGAGTGCTGAAGGTTAAATTACCTGTACCAGATATTCATTACTCAAGGCTCTTTGAGAAAAGGAATTAGTGTTTCAGGGCTGAGGAAGTGAAGCCTTCTGTGTAGTGTCACTTCATGCATTTGTAGCTACCACATGTATTTAACTGATGTATCTACCACAAAGCAGTTCCTTCAACTATACTGTGGTAAATTGGTAAAAATCTTGAGTCAACTTGTCTGTGAGAGGCTTTAAGTCGGCAGAGCAAACAGCAAGTTAAGTTGAACATGGTGGTCTGAAGATGCCCACCAAAATGTTTGACAGCAAACAACATCCAAAACGGAAAAAGCTATTAAGGACAATACTACGCGATGTATCATAAAACTATGAGAAGAAGTTGCACATTTTTAGATTTGCATTAACATAAAGTGATATCACGATCAGCAGAAAGAAATTAAGACACAGTATTCCTAGGTGACATGTGACAATAAAAAATTGTCTCTAAGAGTCTTCAAGAATAACAAAGTGCCCCAAAATTTGTAACTGAATCTAAAAGACAAAGACTTTAAATATTTTGATGCTGAGGAAATAAACAAAAGGCTTATATGAATACTTTCAAAATGAAAGAGCTTGATCAAAGGCAAATTCATAAATAATGGCAGGGGGAGGTTGTTGCCATATTACTGTACAAAACAAGTAGGTGAATATCATCTTTTATTAACTTGTTAAAACCACATAATTGAGTCAAAAACAGGAAGTTTAGATTTTTTTAATATAAAAAAAAATGGGTACATGAGGAATTTTGTTTCAGATTGGAAAAGTAAAGATTGACAGACTCTGCGCCAAAGGCTCTAAAGAATGAGAAAAGCCAGCATGACCTCAGCCAGAAAAACAGCCACTGCAATCTCTTGACTAGATAATCAAACAAAACTAATCGATAGATAAAATTAAAAAAAGGGACATTCAATTGATTCAAATGGAATTTAAAAAGTCTCAAAACAGCAGACCATAAAGTTAAAGAGGATACAGAAATTGAAAAAAATCTCTTAAAAAGTTTGACATTTGAAGTATTGGACAAATACTTCTGATTGAAGTCTGCCACAAATATTATTGAAGAGTATTATGCAAACAAAAAAGCACTCTAACAAAAGGATTTCTAAGTACTATACAATGAATTTCTGAATAGCACATTTGTTTGTTTTGTTTTTTAGATAATATACTTCATGAACATCTTTGAAATTGTGCATTTTTGTGAACATTATTCTTTTAAAAGTACAATCGAAGAAAGTATGGATTTGAACCTTGACGTGCAATTTCAATTGGTTTAACAGTTTAATAATGAGAAAGTTTCGCCTTATCTGATGTATCTGTTGTATCATCAAGTTAATTTTTTGCTAAACACTGCCTATACAAAAGATACAGACTCTGTTTGAGAGCGTCATCAATGCACTTAGTTATAAGTTCAGTAGCATGGGCTTACAAGGTCAAGGTTTAGTTCAGATCAAGTGATTGCAAACAAATTCAAGATACTGAGCTTTAGGTCAACGAAATATATTCCAAAGCCACATTCCACAAGAATGAGCACAGCACTGAAGGTAAGTCCATGAAACCTTTCACATGTCAATATTTATACAAAGAAGGCACATAAAGCAGATCTCTGCCGTGTGATAAATCATATCCACTAATAAAATAAAGCTCCTATATAGTACCATCAACATTATTGTGCATAGGAACATCTAGTACTTCACAGTTTAAGATTGTGACCAAAATTGCCAATATAAAAAAAAGAAGAAGAAAGAAATGCACTGCTGCCTATTATTTAGTTCCAAAGATAATTTAAAAAAAAAAATAATGGAAAAGTATGGGTTGACACAGCAACGCATCAAGTTAACACACTGATATTCAGAAAACATTTCATATACAGGGTGGTCCACAGACCCCTTCCTTTATTTTGCTTATACAGTACCGCATGCAGGCGTGCGAGCGGGCTTGCCTACCGTCTTTCATCATGGCGCCTTACGGCCCCGTGTGAGTATGCAACCCACCCGCACGCCTGCATGCCGTACAGTATAAGCAAAATAAAGGAACGGGTCTGTGGACCACCCTGTATAGTTTTAAAAAATCCACTTGCCCAATACCTACAGAAACTTTAAAAGGGTCATCTCATTCAGATGAGAATAGGAAAATTTGAAGGACTAAATAAACATGAGATAGAGCAGTATTCTCCCAAAGCGAGTTTCTTGGAGATAGGGCTTGTCACTTGAGCTAAGACAATAAAACAAATTATTTATGATAAAGTATCTCACGAAATACTGTCAATTAGTGTGCTGTACTTTCAATTGCTCTCCATAATTTAGTTTAAAATTAAATCTTAGCTGAGATATTTAAGAACTAGATTGCATTTCATAGAAAACTTAATTGGCAGTATACTCTTGCCAGCACTAGTTCTTTGTAATGCTAAGGCAAATTTAACTGAGGTAGAACAAAGCAGCTCACAATACTATTAATTTACACCCATAATAAGTAAACTTAATGCAATCCCAAGGACAGTATCTAGATCAAGAAATATATTCAATATTGGCACATCTAAAATTGCTGCCCAATTAATACAATGAAAGTTTCAGCCTTCATAAATTTACCAGGTCAAAAATATTATGTTGTACTAAAATCTTACTCCATAAAAAAATACTTATAACAATATAACAACAATATATGAATAATCACAAAGAAGCAGCAGACACTTGGAGTCCACTCACACCAGGAGACACTGACATCAGAAATGGGAACTGTGCAGGTCGCCACAAGCACTATATGCAAATCACCCGAGTATGTACACACAAACAGATAAAAGGTCCTATTTACACACAAATATCACTTTTCAGAGCTGAACACATTCTGGCTTCACGTACACAAAACTGCCAGTTCCGCAACTGCATCATCTTCCACCACTTAGCACACCTACCACATCACACGACACACACACACACCACTCTCGAGAGCACGGAAGGGTATGCTATGGTATGGCATGGCATGGCGGGGCGTGGCGTGACGTAGCGTGGCGAGGCGTAGCGGGCGGGTATGCTCTGAGGTGGTGTCGGTGTCGGTCGGGTAGGCCACAGAGTGCAGAGCCAGCGATCCGGCAGCGATCCGTTAGGTCCTGAACGCAAGCAGAGAACACTGCCTGTCAGATGTGTTCAGTGCCTATGCACCAGCCGACACAACCCTCAGAGCAGGGACCACCAGTGAAAGCCTTGCTTGCGAACAGTTCATAGCTCTCATGATAAAGAGATATCAAGAATTAATTGAGAAACTACAAAGAAAAGAGCCTCTTTGGTTCTGTCTTTTTTTTTCTTTATCAAACATTCCACAGAAGCAGATGATGTCATTGGTACAAAGAAGACTTGAGCATCTCACACTTAGATTTCGCAGAGTATCATATGAAGCAGTTGTACACATCCATTTCAGTTAGATAAGAAATACATATCAGTAGCAGGCATGTGCACCATTTAAAAAATTAATAAATAACAACAGCAATGCATTTCTACACATAGTGAAAACTTTTTATGACAAAAGTACAATGGGATGCACAATGATATTTTTTTTAAAAAGAAGGAAGATAAAGAGAAGCAAGTCTAAGTCAGTCCACAAGAGCATTCTTTTATGTTAAACTTCACTGCAAAGCTTTCACAATGGTCTCTGTTCCAGAGGATAATATGAACACAATACACCACATGGACAGAACAAACTCTCAAGACATCAAAGCATTAAACCATACAGTTAAATCATTGTGCATCCCCATGGCCAAAACTACAACTAAAGCTGCCTGAGTCGTCAGTTTGTCTGTTGCCCTAGACGCGTAGATGGGAACGTCCTCTGAGAAGCTGTCTTTTTCACATTCTCACTTCATGCACTTCGTTCAGTTCTTGAAAGGAAAAGAAAACCTGCATTCCCACAAAAGAAAAAGAATGCCACTGTAATGAATTTAGCCATGAATAATGACAGTAAAATAAAATAAAAAAACCAATTAAAATGCGCGAAAAATAGTTTTGTTTGAGTGATGCATATCTAACAATAGAAAACTTGATAAAAAAAATACCCACTGTAAGTGAATCTCTAAAGGAAAAATAAGCTCATGAGAAGCAGACTTTTCCTGAAGAAAGGATCAAATGTGTATAGAAGATGTCTTCTGAGAACCTGTATTTTTTAGGCCTACATGATGAATGTCAATCTAGGGAAATACTGGAGCAACTTCCATAATGAGTGTTTTATACCGGTAATCGATGCAACCATGACTGGCTTCACAGAATACAAGGGAATGGGATAAGTCAAACCTAAATGTAAGGTATCAGAGTTTTTGAAATTTGGTATGACGGGAATTACTTGATATATAAGGGAGACAACACAGGTAAATTAATGTCAGAAAAAGTTGATATCAGAGGTTTGCACAACTTTAGGAGGTTAAGTCAATAATGATGAGAACTGACGAGTGCTGGTGCCTTAATACCAGGTGATCGACATAAGCTGTTATCTCTCATAAGAAGGTAGCTCATACTTAACCCATCCAGCTGACCACAGGTAAAGAAAGGAAAATGTGACTTTAAAAGGTAAGGCCTAATTAACCACAGCCCACAACCTCCTTAGCCTGTACTCAGCTGAGAAGGAATAAATTACCAGCTTACAAAAGCAGGCCAACTTACATAGGCCAACTAATATAGAAATACAGAGCAAAGTCATAGAGTAGGGTGAGAGATAGTTGTGAAATTAAGCATTAACTGAACTGGCTGTCTGCCATGCAAACTTCAGTTTGAAAGCCAAAGCCAAATGAGTAAACTAATTTCAGTTTCTATGATCAATATATCAGAGCACAACCCCCCTTGCCCCCCTCTGCCTGAAATAGCTCTGAAAGAAAACAAAGAATGGCCTTGTTTGCTTAAGATCACATGGCTGAACCTTGCTATCAATATTTAAAATTGCAGCTTGCCACCAAAACAAAAGATTCAGCATAGACAATAAATTAGAGTAAAAAATGATTTAAAACAATAATCAATCATCAATTACATTTTCTTTTATGTCCTATAATTTAGTTCTCATTTAATATTTAGATAGATAATAAGAGCGCCCCCTCCCCCTCCCCCAAGTTTTTATGGACTTCTGAGAGGACAAAAACTGACATAAGAAGTGAAGCAAGGTTTTCCAGTGAAACAAGAGGTTATGCCTTGCCATGCATCTAAGATAGATACTTCTAATCACACGCGATTCTCAGATACATGAGTTAGTGAGTTCTCAGCATCAGCCTACCTGCTCTGATTGTTAACCACATAAACCAAAAACCAACAGGTCAATTTCGAAATGTTTTAATCATTAGAAAGAAAATAATCCAGTTGGATATTTTACACACAAGAGTTGAACATATTTTGAAAACCTGTTGGTTATTGAGAATACGTAGGGGGGTGTAACTTGAGGCAAAAAAATGCAGTGAAAAATTTAAGTAACACTCACCGCTTGGAGAATCTTGATGAAAGTTTAGAAAAGAATGACGAAGTGCGGCCATGAGGGATAGCAGAAGTATCCTGTGTTTGAAGTGGTGAGGCCCCATACGCCGACACTGACCCTGTGTGATTTCTTGGCCTATTTTGGCCACTGTGGAACGTTGAGCGGCTTGGCACATTTCTAGGGAAAGGTTGTTGAACTCTGTTTCCAACAGCAGGTGAAACGGGAGGTCCTCTGGCAACCACACTGCTGAAAACACACAAACACAACACCTTCATATTAGCGATAGTGCAAAAAATATTTCTCACCATGCAAGATTTTATTAACAAGAACAAAACCCTTTTTCTACTGCAATCACCTGCAAAAGTAAGGACAACAAAACTAATGCTACATCTTCATCAAAACACTTGACTGAGACAGTCTTTTTTTTCTTTGGAAAGGGACAAAATGATTTACTGTATTCAGTTTCTTTGACTACTGAATCACTAAGACTGTGTGAAAGGATAAAGGAGAGGGGGGGGAATTAATGGATCAGCCTAACTTGATATTGAAAAGGCAAAGACAGCAAAGTTAAGGCAGTTATGTTGAGGCAGTTATAGCATCCAGGAAACTTATGAAACCTGTGTAAGCTCACTGCTTTAAATGGCAGTAAATGACTTGCTCACCATAAAGGTTAAAATTTTAAAATGTTAAAATGCATTCGCTAAACCATCATAATCATCTGAATAGTGCTTGTTTTTATACCAACATCACATTAACTGAAGATTACAAACTACAGTACCACAAATAGTATCAAAACACTATGTAACTGGTATGGTATAATTCTCTCAGTATACATGCAAATACTAAAGATAAAAATAACAGCTACCAAAAATTCTAAAAAAATACTAATAGCAACAGACAAAAGTCACCAAAATCCCCTTAAGATACAAAAACATCCTGTGACATCACTACTGTGAATGATAGAGAGTATGTCTAACAGAGAGTGTGGGAGAGGGCAGGAGAGACTGTGGGTAGCAAATTTCGTCTACCCCCCCCCCCCCTCCAACTTTCTCAAACTCTACCTGCTTGAGCAGCAACACATTCCCTAGATAGATATTGAGATGATAAAAAAGAAATAAAGTAGTAACTAATGAAATGCCAATACATTGTCAGAAATGGCATTGGCATTAAAGCTAGTATACTGTACATCTTAGATACGCAATTTCAATAGCATTAAGAAAGAAATATAATAGTTAAAAGGAGAGCAGACCAACTACTTAGATAGATATAATATTTCAAAATTCACAACTACAAAATTTGCTTCTTTATATGCAAGAATGCAAAAGCACCGCTATGTCTTAGAGCAGAGCGCCGCATACTACCTTTGCCTTAAGGTATCAAGAGTTTGGTCAAGGTTCGAATGGTCGGTTCGGCCGGAGGTAGAAATGCTGGCCGACTTGATATGTCCCTTCACAGTACGGTTCACTGAAAGGCTTTCGCCCGCACCCTGTCCACTATAAACAAGATGGGTCATATCAAGGTCATGAAGATATACAGAAGGATTCCAAAGAAAGAGTTTTAATGGGGCCAAAGTAATGAATTGATAAGATAGAAAAGCACCATGCTCAAGCATGAGAATAAGGAAAACTGACATTAAAATAACATTCACTAATATCTTATCAGACCTAGCAGAATTATTGACACAAAAAAATTGCTAATTCAGGAAAGATCCCCCTTTCTCTTTGCTGAAGCAAAAATATATATTCAAACATATTAATCTAAAGTTTCTTTATCCTGCTAATGTACGTAAATTAGAAAATAAGATATGTAACAATAAAATTGAACTATAATATAAGATTCTAGATTGAAAAAATACAACTGGTTAAAGTGCAATTTATGAAATGTAGGTAATGTAGAGTTAAGATGCAAGTAGAGGTATAGATGAACAACATTCTTAGGGAACAGAACTGGTCATACTCCTCTTAGTTAAGCTAATAAGCCGTGCCAGGAGAGACCAAAAATTTAAAGCGATAAGGTTTTCTGATCATGCAAGTGCTCATCTTCCCCACAGTTTAATTGCATGCTTTATTTTTTTTTTTATCTAAATTCATCTTTGATGACTGTAAAGATGACTGTAAAACCTTTGTGATCACCTTATGCTTTCTCTTCCCTGACCAACATCTTATACACGTATATTAACTGGGTGCCTGGCAAGTTCCTAATTTTGAGCTGTCAAATGCTGCACATGATCTACATGAGTCCTACATCCAAATTACCACATTCTTGCTCTAAATCGCACCTTTTTCTCCCCTTTTTGAAGCCCTCTTAGACCTTCAAAGTGAGGCTGGTTAAAATAGCATGCTGTAGGAATAATGACAGTAATAAGAGAGAAAATAAATTACGATAACCACTTTTCCTATATTTGAGGAACCTCACTCATTGCAATGTAGGATGCATAAAGCCTAATAAATAAGTAACATTGCCAGGTTTTTCTTCCCTGGGCCTCTCTCCATTCAAGATTTGTATAAAAACAAGAACTAGAGTGTCTTGTGTGGTCAGGAAAGAGTGGCTATTAAACATAAGATGATTTGGAACATACCTGGGAGCTTCTGAAGAAGTGTTGCTCTTGTCATCAAATGATGGTTTATTTGCATCATAGATGGTACTACGTCTGCTAACTGAACCAGCTGATTCCAATTTTCTGTTTCCAGACATGGTACTGGATTTATAGCTCATCCTTGGCTTTCCAGGACTAGCTGCACTACCTTCATAAACAAAAAGTAATCACATGAGATGCTGAAACACCTGAAGCAAATAAAATGAGAAAGTATAGGGAAACGTACTTGAGTCTACAGGCATATTTGAGGAATTCTTCACTGGTGTGGGCCTTGTTGCAGCAGAAGCTGAATTAATTCTAGCAGTATTTTCTTTGATGGTTGCAGAGTCCACAGTATTTTGCCGCTTAAAATTAGAGGTTGTTGAATTGTGATTGTGATTTGAAGAATTTGGTGTTCCTGCTGGAACTCCTGTAAGAGAAAATGGATCATTGATAAAAAAGAAATAACCTGCTATAATGATATACTGTCAAAAAGCTTTCCATAAATGAACCATATGCAAACAAAGACTATGCTATGACGTAACAGAAACAATAACAAGAGACAACGACAGCCAGGACCGGACAGATATGTGTAATGGGCTTTGACAGTATCATACATCAGACTGGTAAAGACTGCTACCAAGGCGCGTACCCGGAATTAACTCAGGAAAATAACACTCGTAAGTAAAACAAAAACTGGACAACATTTCAGGTTGAATTTTACAAAATTAATAAAAAATTCAAATTTACAAAATTAACCAACACTTGCTGATGGTAAAATGCTCAAGAAATCGATTTACGAGAGAAATGATTAAGAGTCTTATGCAATGAAAGATGAATCAACAGGCATGAGAAGGGATAGAAAAGAGATAGCACATGTACACAAAGTGCAAATGCACACATTATTTCAGACACATGCATTTTAGTTTTTTAATTTCTTTTTTTTTTAATTGAGACCCGTCTAAGAAAAGAGCAGGGGGTGAAGCAAAATGATCCAAGATACGGGTGGAACTAAAAAAAATAGGTGCAGGGGTAACTTATTTAGAAACCATTAAGAAATACACATTTCATGAGGAATAAGTTGAAGAGAGAAGATATTGACAAAATAATTGCAAGGTTTTCAAATGTAACTTTAGGCAAGGCTCTAAGAATACTACATCTAGGGCCATTAATTGAGGAGCAGTCCTAGGATGAGAAGCTATACTATGGCTTGCGAGGCTCAGCATTGCAAAACTTTGATGAGGTTCATCCATAAGCCTGAGGCCAGTCCAATCCTCGTATCTTGCAGACAGATCCTAGCACCTAGCACTAAAACATGCCCATGACCAAGACAGGGACTAGGTCCCGACGAGGTCCCACCACCTGAGGCTGTCGTCGCCGCCGGCTGGCCGTGCGACTCACGCAAGGTTTCCCCACCGGACGAGGCCCTTCTGCTGGGCTTGGCGTTGGTGGCCGAGATGGATCTAAGGACGCCTCGGTGACCATGAGAGGGTGACTGCGCGTTGCTCGACGAGACGGCGCCCGGGGGCAGGTTCCACAAAGAAAGTGAACTACCCGACCGCGATCCGTCGCTCTCCGGCTGAAAAGGAAACAACAATCTTGCGTAAATTACATAGTTCATTCAAATTTGCAATCTCCAGAAAAATTATAACTTTACGAGATTGACTTCTTTTAAAATTCTCAGTAGATAGTTGCAGAAATAAAAGTCAATACATACATCTGTGTTTTTCCTTCCTAGTAATAGGTAGGTGGCAAATACATCATCGTATTTTGCTTGTGCCAGACTATCCTCAATCTCGCTTCGACTGTAACCCATTCCAACAAGTGCTTCTGTAAAAGTTAAAAAGGATGTGAAAGTTAATGATGTTTTCAAAAGATGTGTTGCAGCCTCTACCCAAACTACACCACAAATCCACACCATACAACAAAAGACCCCATGCGAAGTAATAATCAGGAGGCAAATACAATC